ACACTAATAGTTCACTAACAACCTGAACCAGGGGTGGGATTCACAGTTTTTAACAACCGGTTATGTGGGCGTGGCTTAGTTGGTGGGCATGGCTTAGTTGGTGGGCGTGGCTTGGTGGTCATGTGACTGGGTGGACATGGCTTGGTGGTCATGTTATTGGCTGGGTGTGGCCAACTCAACATCACTCACATTGAGACACGCTTCTCCTTGCCTGGCCTCTCATGACTGTGGGGATGCTGCAACAGTTATAAGTGTCAAAAATGGTCATAAGTCACTTTTTTCTATGGTCACTCCACACAAGCAAAGTACCAGCAAAGGAGGGGGGGAAAAACTCCAGAGAAGTTCCAGAGACAGGAAGTCTAGTCCTGCCAAGAATGTAATAAGAGTTAATGGAGAGGCAGTTTCTGTAAGCAACACCAGAATGTTTCCTTCCTGCCTTCCTTACAGGATTAGGCCAATAATTTCTTCTAACAACCGGTTCTCCGAACTGCTTAGAATGTTAACAACCGGTTCTAGCGAATAGGTGAGAACTGGTAGAATCCCACCCCTGACCTGAACACAGCTTTCAGGACTGGTGTTACATTTTGCCACCTCGCCTTAAAATTGCGCAGGTACCATCTGTTCTAATGGCATCTTTGTGGTCATTTGGGAAGGTAACCAGGCATAAATTACAGTATAGTATACAGTCGAGAGATTATTAGAGAATGTACATTGGTATTAAGTTATCCTAAACACAGCTAAGGTTTTAATTTAGCAGTCTAAGTTGGGCCTATGTCTTCCTTGCTACTGCAACCACCTGTTCTTGTAAGGACGTATTTGGAGAGAATGCTACCTTACTCCACAATATTTCGTTTTACTGTCAGATTCCTGTTCCTATCCAGCCCATCACTTTTGTCAGCAGGCAGCATTCCCTGCAGTGGTGGGATTCAAATTTTTTTACTACCGGTTCTGTGAGCTTGGCTTGGTGGGCATGGCAGAGGAAGGATACTGTAAAATCTCCAGTCAGGGGTGGTATTTGCTGGTTCTCCAAACTACTCAAAATTTCCGCTACCGGTTCTCCAGAACTGGTCAGAACCTGCTGAATACCACCTCTGATTCCCTGATTCAGGTAGAAAAGAGAGCATACTGGGTTCTAATGACTTGATGCAGATATTGAACTCCAGGAAGGAAAGAATATAATATTTTGGAACATCACAAAATTAGCTCCCTGGAGCCAAACAGAAATTTCCCATTGCTGATTTCTGGTGATGGACTTGCCAGTAAGAATTAAATTACACAAACTCTGTGCCTTCAATTCCCAAACCCCTGTTCTATTCCAGCAATATCCCTTGACTTGGGTTATTTTCATGTCTCACCCACAAGGAGAACTGTTTCTGGATTATATCCAAACCTAAAGCCAAACAATAATAGATCTAGATGATTAGTTCCTCCCAAGTATGCTTGTAGATGGGCAGCCATTATCCTTTCAGGTTTAAAAAAAAATCCTTATGTGTATGTTAATTGTGCATGTAACCTGACTAAAATTTCCAGAAGAACTAAATTTGTTTAATCACAAATCTAGCACACACCTAGTATGGTTGAAAGTGTGTCCTATTGATTTAAGCAGTGTCTATTAGCTCAGAGGACATTTGTCTATCACAGATTAAAGCTTACAAATCTTGTACTTTAGAATTGAAGTGATCTAACTGTACTATTGCCACCAAATACCTTAAGGGACATGATGGATTTATGAATGGTGAGGTTATATATTCATGTGTGTTAGTAATTCAGTTGCCTAGCTCATAAACATTACTTCTCTTTCTCCTATACATACATATACCATATTTTACAACTAAATGGACATGCACTTACAGCAAAAACAAATAGAACACAGCCAATTACTTGCCCACTCCATTAAAAAATATTAATTAAAATGTGTGAATATTTTCATCTTAATCCCACAGTGACTACTGGAAGAAAACAGAGTTTGCCTCTGCTGAACTGATGCCAGATACATTTACTTGGGGACAAGTCTTGCTTTGTTGAAATAAAGATGTACTTACTTTAAAAGTATTTTTTTTTAAAAAAAAATGACATTTTATAGCCATTTTATGCTTAGGATGACATCCCCTAACTAACTATTGGGTTAAAAAAAAAACAAGCATGTAGGCCTTAATGTTAATCAGAAACCACTCTTCTGTTGCATCCCATTCTCTGGGATTTAGCGGGGCAGTTAACCTGGGCATATTCTAGGCAGATTACAAAACTAGTAGTGGCAAGCAATGTGACAAGGGAAAAACAGGAAGTGAACTAATTTCTTTCCTGGGAGATCTGATGCTTGGAGTTTGCATAAATTGTGCCTAATTTAGCAACACATTATATAATGAATAAAGAAAACCTGAGCAGACTTTGACTGCTTTTGCTAGACGTTAAATTATTACGCCTATCTGGAAGTGATGCAGAAAAGTGTAATTTGTTCCTTTAAATGGGCAGAATAAAATGAATGACAGTTTAGCGTCAAAAAGGAAAAATATGTAACCGAACTGCTCATTTACACAGCAGAAAAAGCCTGCAATTAATTGAGGTGTCAAGTCATTCAATTAAGCTACGTCTTAGTACTTTAGGGGAAGAACAGTGCATGAAAAAACATTAATTTTTATCAATTTTTATTTGTTCGTACATTGGCAAATAAAACAAGAAAATTACAATTAATTAGGATTAAAAAGAAAAAAAAATATTTTCTAAAATATCTAAGAAGGATTAAAAGAGATACAGTGTACTGTACTAAAGATATAGAAGCTATAGAAGAGTAATTAGCTGTGGTTAAAGAAGTAAAATCAAACTGATATGATAATAGAAAATCAAGCTAAAATAAGTCAGAATGACCAGAATATTTAGTAAATCATTAAAAAGCATATTAAATGAGAATACAAACAATTTCAACATCACAAAAAGTTTATATTTTTCTATTATAGAAAAAGTGTTACATGCCATCCAATTTTTTTTAAAAAATAGCTATGGATATTTTATATGAAAGCTATCTTCCATTTTTTTCTTCTTTATATTCCACACACATAATGGAAGATTCAATTAGGAATACCCATTAGCAAAACAATCAAATTTGGTTCCATTATCATCAAAATTATTGTATAGTGTATGCACAAATACATGTAGCTTTTTGGAAATTGCAAAATAGTTTTCATTATGTCACCTTAGATAATTTCCACATAAGTATTACATAGCCAAACACACACACACACACACACACACACACACACTATTTTAGCTTTCTATGTATATTTTTACTATTTGTAAGAAAAACAGAGACTTTGTTTCTAGAAAATAAATGGTTTGATATAGCAGCATACTTATTTTATTTTTTAAAAACATGCCAATTCTTTAAAAAACATATTAAACAATTGACTCAGTGACTGAAGTGAATTTTTCCAACTCTAAGATTCTGTATTATTCTTTGTCTTTTGTGAAAAAAAAACAATAAAGGTTAATAGTCTTATATTTAGAGTTTAAATGGAATTATGGATGCTACAGGTTCTCCTCACATTTAGCAAGCTTATACAGGGCAGTCCCATGGTGTAGATACCATAGAAGTCTATGCAAGCAA